TTTCCCTAGCTCTATCTTGCTTCTTTCTATGGAAATCCCGAGACTTCCAAACTCATAGGGCTGAGGAATGTAAAGCTTTTCTTATGTTGCAGCCTGTGTTTCTCTAGCCTTTTTGTAGCTTTTGGATCAATACTCAGGGTATTTTATTGTAAAGGACAAGTGGTTCTCATCTAAAGTAGTTAAAATACTGGACACGTGGGACCATACTATAAACCTGCTGTCTTTGCTGCAATGGCAAAACTTGTGAATTTTTGTGTTGCTTTACGTGCAGTATAACTTATCTTCTAACTTCAGCTGAAAATCACAATGAAATATCAGGTCCGGTAATTGTTGGTAATCCAATGAGTTGTCACTGTCATTTTTAAAAACAGTATTAAAGTTTCTTCTTTGTACTTTTATTCTTTTTTCTGCATAAAGTTCATAACAATTAAGAAAAGAAACATTAAGTAGAGAAAGCAGTGAAGGCACAAAGTTCTAGCAATAGAGTAGACTGATATCTTTCATCTCATCTTGTTGCTGCTTGAATATAGTTTAGGTTACTAGAGGCTGAATTTTAGTGCTTTCTGATGGCTATTTTATGCTGTTTGTGAAATGAACCAGTAGACAGAGGAACCATGTCCCCAAAAATAGAATCATAGAAAATTAGGGTCATCTAGTCCAACCCCCTGCTCAAAGCAGGACCAACTAGATCATTCCAGCTACAGCTTTGTCAAGCCTGAAAAAACCTCCAAAGATGCAGATTCCACCACTTCTCTAGGTAACCTGTTCAAGTGGTTCACCACACTCCTAGTGAGAATGTTTTTCCTAATATTGAACCTAAACCTCCCTTGCTGCAAGCTGAGACCATTGCTCCTTGTTCTGTCACCACTGAAAACAGTTTGGCTCCATCCTTTTTGGAAGCACCCTTTAGGTAGTTAAAGGCTGCTATCAAATACCACCTCAGTCTTCTCTTCTGCAGGCCAAATAAATCCAGTTCCCTCAGCCTCTCCTCATAAGTCTTGTGCCCTACCCCCTGAACCATTTTCACTGCTCTCTGCTGGACTCTCTTCAATTTGTCCACATCTTTTCTATAGTGGGGGGCCCAAAACTGGACACAGTACTCCAGATGTGGCTTCACTAGTGCAGAATAGAGCAGAATAATTACTTCCTTTGATCTGTTGGCAACACTCCTACTAATGCAGCCCAGTATGCTGTTAGCCTTCTTGGCAACAAGGGCACTCTGCTGACTTATAACCCTCTTATTGTCCACTGTAACCCTCAGGTCCTTTTGCAGAGCTGCTGTGCTTAGCCAGTCAGTCCCCAGGCTGTAGCAATGCATGGGATTCTTCCGTAGTAAGTGCAAGACTTTGCACTTGCCCTTATTGAACCTCAAGAGATTTCCTTTGGCTCAATCCTTCAATTTGTCTAGGTCACTGAATCCTAGCCATACCCTCTAGTGTTGTTGTCATCTGCAAACTTGCTGAGGGTCCAATCCATCCCATCTACCAGATCATTAATGAAGATATTGAACAAAACCGGCCCCAGGACCAAGTCCTGGGGCACTCCACTTGATACTGGCTACCAGCTAGACATTGAGCATTTGACTACTACCCATTGAACCCAACAGTCCAGCCAGCTTTCTATCCACTCCATGATTTTTCTGGGGACTGAGGTGAGGCTGACTGGTCTGTAGTTCCCTGGATCCTCCTTCTTCCCATTCTTAAAATGGACACTATATTTGCCCTTTTCTAAGCATCCAGGATATCCCCTGATCACCATGAGTTGTCAAAGATAAAGGCCACCAGATCTGCAATCACATCAGCCAACTCCCTCAGCATCCTTGAATGCATCACATCTGGTCCCATGGACTTGTACACGTCCAGCTTTTCTAAATAGTCCCTAACCTGTTCTTTCCACTGAGGGCTGCTCACCTCCGCTCCAAACTGTGCTGCCTGGCGCAGTAGTCTGGGAGCTGACCTTGCCTGTGAAAACCAAGGTAAAAAAGTCATTGAGCACTTCAGCCTTTTCTTCATCCTCTGTCACTAAATGGCAACCTCAACCTTAGGGTTGGAAAGGTCATTGGAGACTGAACTCTTCTATACAGTTATTCCATCCAGGTTAATATTGATATCCTATGTTACATGTTTTTTAACTAGAAGGATATAAAAATATACAATGGGCTAAATGCACTGCAGCATAATGCCAAAGACGAATTTGATGGATTTATACCACGGATGGATTTAGTCCATTTAATTTATTTTAATGTACCGTTATTACATATGCAGGCAGAGAGCTCCAAAAATATTCACATACCACTGCAATCATTTAAGTGCCCTGACATTTAAATATATGTGTGTGCAGTGCAGCAGACATGCATGTATTGTATCTGGAGTTGTACAGTGGTTTATTGCTAAGACAGTTTGATCAAGTTGGATCTTTTTTATTTAATTTTCTCTAAAAAAAATGTTTTTTATAATCTAAAAAACCCAATAAAATTCAACATGAACATTGATATGAGTGGGTGTTCACACTGAGAATTTAAACACAAATGGAGAATCCCCACAATAACTATAACAAACTCAGCCACACAGCACATTTATATTAGGTCATGAATCTGACAACTTGCTATGTAGAGTAATGCAAAATGCTGTACACACAGAAGAACAAGTAACTATCACTGTGAGAACCAAAATTGAATTTCCTGCCTGTTGTGCATGAGAAAGCTCAACAATAATGTAATATTGACAAGGTTTATTGGAAGCACTTCAACTTATTTTTATTTAACCTAAAATGTGTCCTTCTCCACACTGCAGGGTATGTATAAAAATGTCCATCTGTGACATGGGACATATATGCGACCACTTTCAATACCTTGATTATAATTGTCTCATTGTCACCCCCTGCTGCCCCATCTGCTTGTTTTATCCATTGCTGGAGCTTATGTGCTTTTTCTTGTACTTGCACTGTAAACTCTTTGATAGGGGTAGTTGGTTGTAGCCATGTTGGTCTAAGGACATAGGCAGACAAGGTTCTTTGGGTAAATGTGGTATCTTTTGTTAGACCAACTAAATAGTTGGAAAAATTGTTCTTTGCAAGCTTCCAGGCACAAACACCCTTCTTCAGGCATAGGAAGAGTCTACTGCTGTTTTGTGCTCTTCTGGCTGGAATAGAAGCCAATATGCAAAATGCAGGTCTGTGAGAATGTAGTGGTTACCTGGGATTATCGGGTGGCAGGCAGGTTATAATGTGCCATAAATCCAATGTCTATATTTAGTCGATGATTTTTTGTATCCACTAGATTTATGAAATGAAGTTCGTAGGCTTATCTACAAAAGGTGTTTTGTAAATTCCCTTTGAGGATCAGAACTGAGATTTGAGAGACAGCAGTTGTCTTGTGAGAAGGGTGCACCCACTGGTTATTGGGTGTTTTTGTCTTTGAGAGATTTTCAGTGTGCATTCATTCTGGTGCACAGTTGTTTGGTTTCTCCTACATATTTTCCATCAGGACATTTGGTGCACTGGATGAGATATACTACATTTCTGGAGATGAAGGTATAAAATCTAGGAATGGTGATGGTTCTATTGTGGGGTGTAGTTATTGTGGGAGTGGTGGAGATGTGTTGGCAGGTTTTACATTTTTTGTCCCAGCACGTTCTGGATCCATTCTGTGTGTTTGGGGCCATAGGAAGTTGACTTCTGGTGATGATATTGGCAAAGTTCAGTGTTTGTTTGCAGGGGTAGGCAAAATGTGGCCCGGGGGCCAGATGTGGCCTGCCTGGCCATTCTATCCGGCCCACGGGGCCCCTAAAAAATTTAGAAAATTAATATTTATCTGCCCTGGGCTGCCTGTCATGTGGCCCTCGATGGCTTGCCAAAACTCAGTAAGCGGCCCTCTGCCCAAAAGAATTGCCCGCCCCTGGTTTAAAGGCTAGGATGGGTAGTTCTGGGAAGATCTCTAAGAATTGGGTCTTCTTCTAGTATGGGTTGCAGTTGTTTGAGGATTTTCCTCATAGGCTCCAGGGAAGGATATGTCATAACTAATGTTGTGCAATTCGTGGGGATTTTCTTTTTGTACTTCAGCAAATATTTAAGTGGTATCTGGGTGGCTCTTTCAAAAGTGCGATCTATCTCTCTGGAGGAGTGTCCTTGTTGAGTGAAGGCCTTTTTGGGATTTATGAGGTGATGATCATGGGTGTTCCCCTCAGTGCAAAATTGGTGGTATTGGAGCTTTGGCCATACATTACAGCTTTCTTGGTGTGTTTAGGGTGATTGCTGGTTCTGTGCAGATATGTGTGTTGGTCTGTGGGTTTCTTGTATATAGTGGTTTGTATTTTAACCTTCTGGATATAGATCACAGTGTCTAAAAAGGAGATGTTGGTGCTGGAGTATTCAAGAGAGAGTCTGATGGAGGGGTGATGACTATTGAATTTGTAATGAAAATCAATCAGAGATTGCAGGTTTTCAGTCCAAATGTTGAAGATGTCTTTTCTATATCTTAAGTATAGCATGGGTTTGATGGTTCAGTTCTTGAGGACTTCTTCTTCCAAGTGGCTCATAAAAAGGTTGGCATATTGGTAGGGGCAGACTTTTTTGTTGTTTGCATAATATGTAACACAACAGAGTTGTGATTTCTGATGAGGTTCTCAAAAGAGCTTCCCTAATACAAATTCACAATGACAATGTCCTTAAAACAAATAAAAACACAGGTGAAAATGTTGTAGAAAACAGTTTTGAGTAAGGGTGCTTCCCTCCATGCCAGGGGCCTAGATCCCTGGGAAGGAAAGTTTCCTATCATTGTGCCAGGCGGAGTGGCCCTATGATTGAAGCAAGGATAAACCAGCCCATTCAGAAAGCAGGGCTTTTGGTTGCCCTGCCTTAGGAGAGGCTTTGCTGAAGTGTAGGACAGTCCTGTCTAAAGCAGGGTTCCCTGATCATTGTGGGAGAAGGCTGGAAGCCGATCCCTTGGGACAAAAAAATGGGCAATTCTGGACTTTCTGGTC